GGAGCAGAGGGGTTTAGATGGGTTGCGAGTTCTGGGGGGGGCTGTCAGGGGGTGGGGAGTGGTTGGATGGGGCGTGGGAGTCCCAGGGGTCTGTCTGGGGGTGGGGGTGTGGATAAGGATTGGGGCAGTCAGGGGACAAGAGGCAGGGAGGCTTAGATAGGGGATGGAGTCCTGGGGGGCAGTTAGGGGCAGGGGTCCCAGGAGGGGGCAGTCAGGGGACAAGGAACGGGGGGAGGGTTGGGAGTTCTGGGGGGGGCGGGAAGTGGGAGGGGCAGGGGCGGGGCTAGGGCGGGGCTCCTCCCATCCTCTTTTTTGCTTGCTGAAATATGGTAACCCTACCCCAGGACCCCTGTTCCCCCCCCAACCACCCCGACTCCTATCCACACCCCCACCTCCTGACCACCACCCCGAACTCCCCTGCCCTCTATCCAGCTCCCCCTGCTCCGTGCCCCCTTACTGCGCTGCCTGGAGCACTGGTGGCTGGAGGTGCTGCAGTCGTGCCACCCGGCTGGAGCCGTGCCATGCCGCCGCCACCACCACCACGCAGCATAGAGCACCGCGTCAGGCCAGGCTCTGCAACTGTGCTGCCCCAGGAGCTCACAGCCCCGCTGCCCAGAGCATTGCGCCGGCAGCGGAGCGAGCGACGTGAGGCTGCAGGGGAGGAGGGACAGTAGGGGAAGGGCTGGGGGCTAGCCTCCGGGCCAGGAGCTCGGGGGCTGGGTACGACAGTCCCGTGGGCCGGATGTGGCCCGCGGGCCATAGTTTGCCCACCTCTGGACTACAGGAAGGACTGTGGACCCTGGGTTGCTCCTCTGCAGTGGGATTTTGTTAAAGCAGCTGTCCCTTCCCCCGCACACTCTAGTAAATCCCTCTCATGTTATATTGGAGCCAGTGCAAGGCTTCTCTGCAGTCTGTCTCTTTGTGCAGTGGGACCTTGGCAGTCCCTCTGCATTTGGAGTCTTCCTGACAGTGTTTTATGCCCTGTTGTTATAAGTGACACTTAAGATCACAATAACTGAAAGGAATTAGAGAGCAAATATCTGCCACCATTTCTCATTTACTTTTACTTTTTTACCTCCCTCCCCCCAAGTTAACAGCCTTTTGTTTCACTGTTTTTCCTGTATTTATTCAGTTAGTCTCTCTAGTATGTGTGGGTCTTTCACACTGTAACAAAGGACATTGGCAAAACAGTAGGAAAAAGTGATTGATAAACCACTCAGGTTCCAGTGTAGTACCTACAACTTATTAATATTTATTATTTGTTCTGTGGTAGCAGCATCACATGAGGATTTGGGCCCCTGGTGCTAGGTCCCAAACACATCTTACTTTTTGAAAATAACTACATTTCAGGTTGATTGGGCTCCTTAAATTGGCTCACCTTGTTGGACCTTGCATTCCACTCAACAGTATTTCTCTGTTTAGATATTTGTCTCTAATGCAAAATTTTTGAATGCTCCATCTGATCAATCCCCAATTTTCAGGGAATGTGCTAGGCATCAGTGAGCAGAATCCTATTGATGTTGGTGAAAAATGGGGGAAATACCTGGGACATCTGACATCTGGTTAGCAGACCAAGCGTCTTCAGCCACCTCTGTAATTGTCTATAGATGAAAGGACAGGATGATAGAAGCCATTAAGAGATTCCAGTATAAGACCACTTCCCAAGACCACTTGCCAATACAGTTTAAAACTGCTGACACCCTGAAATAGAAATAAGAGAATAAGAATGGGGGTGCACCCTGAGCCCCTGGTATGGAGGAGAGAATAGGGGACCCAGATATAGGGAGGAATAGAGGGGATCACAAAGTCCTGGGCTTGGAGGGGTGAATGGGTGACCCCTGGCATAGGAGGGAAGAGGGAATAGGAGGGCACATAGATTCCCTGGCATGGGGAGGAATGGGGGGCACTTAGTCTCTGGCAGGTGGGAGAGTGGGGTATCTTGGTATGAGGTGAAGAGGGGATAAAGGGGGATAGGAGGGCCATGGAGGGGAATGTGGGAAATGGGGGTGCACACAGGCCCTGGAGTGGGGGGAAAATGTGGGATCCTGGTGTGGGGTGGGAGAGGGGCAATAGAGGGTGTGATAGGATCCCCCCCGGGGTGAAGCCTGGGACTGTGGGACTGCTGTGCCCCCTGAACTCTCTCCAGCCTGGGCTGTCTATCACAATGCTTTGCTAGTGACCAGCAGCAAACCCCTCCAAGCGCTGTTTTCACTCAGCACAACAGAAATGTGGAGCCCCATACCCAGCTAGATTGCATGAATACTCACAGAGCCACTCATGAATCACACCAAGGAAAGGCACCAGAGTCAAATCCTCCCAGCACTGTACCTCAGGAATATACTGTCTTGCACTGCTCAAAACGAGCAATGTAGATATATTAATCAGTTCATTAAATGGACATACACCAGCCTTTGTCAAACTGGAGCAGATTTGCCACTCACCTCATACAAACTCACTGGTA